GTCTGAGTCCAAGGCTCCAAGGGGGCCTCTGCGGCGATGGCTGCTTCCGGCCATTGTGGTTTCTGGGGGTGCTTTTCGCCTGCGGGGTCTTTTTCGTTCCGTGAGAGCTCGGGTCGCTCGGGCTTTTTGGCTCTGGGGGACTTTTTTTTTTTTTCCCTTGGGCGAAAATTTCGACCGTTGCTGTTTGTAGCTCTTTCAGCATCCCTTTTTCGTCGACCAGATTTGCTGCAAAGGTTTGCCTTTCTGGATCCTTGGGCATTTTGGCGCGGTTTGATTGGAAAGGTCTCTCTTTGAGGCCCTGTGCGCTGGGTGGTGGCACCAAGGGGTAATGATTTTGGTGGCGCCCCCAAGAGGCTCGTTTTCAAATATGGCGAGTTTTATATGGCTTTTTTGGCTGCAGTCGCTCTTCTTTCGCGTTTGTGTGCACACCCGATCCGCCTTGGCCTTGCAGATTGGCTGACTTAAGCAGTTAACCAATGGGATAATTTGCATGAAACATGTAAAGTAACTTACACATAGAAATATTACACTGTGAAGTGGTGACCCTAAAGATGTCGTAACTTCCGAGTAATCAGATTCATTGTGCGAATACTGAGAAGCGTTGTTTCTGCAACCCAAATTGGTGATTGATAAGGGCGCAGATTTTGGCCGGTAACTTCAAAAAGCCTACGTGATGCCACTTACACATTTGATGAAGCCTAAATATGGACAGAAAGAATATGTTCCAGTGCATTTCTCTCCTTATATAAGGTGATGAAATTTTGTGTCTTCTTTATGGAGTTTCAGTGCGTGCAGGCTCAACAGTCTGCGTGCGCTAATGCGCCATCATCAGTGTGATGCCCTAGTTGTGGTCCCCGGTACAGCTCGCGTTATCTTACTTATAGTGCCAGGTGTTGATTCGAGGTTCAGTACTGGAGCGAGTCAAGTTGCAGCTTTCCTCTTATTTGATTTATTCGAAACTCACAATCAACATATTATACGAAGTAAATTTGAGGTTGATGTTTTTGAAGGTAATTATTTTACTACCCCCATTACCAGCTTCAGACTTTATCATATGTATCAAGAAAAATGAAGTCCATCTATACTGTAACGCCGTAAATCACGCTTTACTTCTACCATTCACAATTCACTGGCCCAATCTGAGAGTTCACTGTGCGAGTGAATCAAAAGTGAGCCGCATAACACCGTTCTTTATGTTCCAGATGTCCAATATTGACGAATACGAAAATTACAAAATAACGGTGTTCCAGATGCTCGTGAAGGACTGCAAACGACTGGTTGTTCCATGCTTAGATATGTGCGGAGCCATGGGTTTGCATGGATTTAATAATCATTATGTATATCAAGGTAATGAAAAGTTCACAAAAATGATGATTGAGGAGTGGCCAATAATTCAGAGCTATGCATTTGATACAGAGCATCAGTAAGTCAGATTAAACATGCATATGGCGACAGCACTCGTCCAACCATCAATTCCTGTTTTTCAACCTAACATGATAGCTTGAGATTTGCTCCACTCATTTTAATGGCTCGCCTTTGTACCTACTGATTTCTACATGTTTTTCTCTGCTTAGGCTTCATAATAACCGTTCGTCACCTTGGCCGACATTCGCAAATATACGTGTGTTTAGTGTAGTAGCTGCAGAAGCAGAAAGCACTCCGTTATTAAGACATATTCTCAAAATTATCCTTCCACGTATTAATAGTTATAGCCCAATCTGGTGGATTGAAAAGGACATGTTAGAATAAGCCCATATATAAACAAGTGTAACGCAAGATATAGTTATGAAACGTGTACGGTTTAAGCTATCTTCAAACGCACTGGATCAGTCGTGACAAATAGATCCATACGAAGGAAAGCTGCAGTTTTCCTCTTATTTGATTTATGCGAAACTCACAATCAACAAATAGATCCATACGAAGGTGTTTCCACTGAAGACCAATGCAGCAGAGAAACAAAACACATTCTTAGATTGCGATTGACGGATGTAAATTTATGTGTACATTTAGGCGAAGCAAGAAGTCAGTAAGTGTTGTAAGTTAATGAGGTCAGGAGCAAGAGGACGTCTGAATGCCTTGAGATTCAGCGTTAAGAAATGGGGATAAGTTTGATTTAGTATCAAGATTCCGAATGGCCGTTTTGGGAAGCGAGTGACGTTCGACTGCTGTTCATCACCTGAACCATCACTGACCATTAAATATGTATGTGGTTTCCTTAATGTACTCACTAATCCATTTGTGTTTTCCTCTGTATACTTGGCGTATGCTTGCTTGTCTTCCCTTACTCGGAATCACAACCCCAGTCAAAGTAGAAAGAGTGGTCTGTGACAGGACATTGACTGAAAGTTTTGCACTGGGTGCTCCATACACAATTGCTTATGACCTTAGCAAAATACACTCATTTGCAAACAAATTTGGCTTCTTTAGAGACTCACCGGGAACCTAGCTGGTTCTCTTGTCTAATATGTTTCGCGGGTTGTCAGAGAATTCTCAGAAACATTATAAGTAGTGATTACGAATATACATGTATCGCGATATCTCGACCATCGTTGCAACTGAAACACTAGGTGGCCTCTTGCAGCACTTTCGGTTGCTTGAGACTGCCATAAACGAGAGATTCAGGTGGGTTGCAAGTAAGTTTTCTGCAAAACCAACTTTTATAAAATGAGTTTATTTCGTAATTTAGTGCACTTCAGGTTCAAGTAAACCATAAAGTTGATGGGAATTTGGGAACTGAGCTTACCTCCTGAGCCCCAAGAGAGGCGAAACCGGCGGTGTGCTACAACCTTGTGAGTAGCATATGATATTCATTAATTGTTGCGACTTAAATGCCGTGGGGATGGTGCTAGCGCTGAACGTATCATTTGTTATACGGTATTTTAGGTTCCGCGCGGGCCTTTTTAACTGAAATAAAAGACATATGCAACAATCTACAGTGTGTTAGGGATATACAGAGCACAAATCTTAGCCACATTTTACAGAAAGGACAGCAAAGTAATCACTCAGATAGGCTAAATACTAGAGTGCGGCAAGGACCAGAAACGGAGTAAGGAAAATATTACGGTTCCTATTTGCCTACTAAAAACCTTGACCAACTGACCTTCCCCTGATTGAGGACATTGGCAGCATGCCTGCAACACCAGGCAGCTGCACTGACAATATTACATCAATTGTTGATAGAAAGTCTGTAATTAAATTGCCCAGCTTGGCGAACGAACCAGTGATTATTAGGTTTACCATATTTGTGTGGCCAGCGCAAGTTAGATTCCACGGAATTTTGGTTATATGAATTAGAAAACAGCCTGATCAACCATTGAACAACATCCTTAGCACATGGTGATGGCTCTCCAAATACTTTATTTTGTTATAATCCGCGAGAGAAAAACCAGGAATAAACATTCACTAACTTTCGCAGTAATTTGCTGAATAGGTGAGGCTCATTTCTACTTCACGGCTCATTTCTACGTCACTCACCTTTGAGCAGCCGTCCACTTGCTCTTGCGCAATTATTGTGCTACGTCCAAACCAAAATGGCGAGACATTGGACTCAAATTTCGCTCTCGCAAGAGTTCTTGGGCAGAAAATATCCATGGACGTATTGAAGTTTGGCCCTCAAACATCTTTTGTGCAAGGAACGCTTTGGTGGAGCGTAATAAACACACCTAAATCATCGCATTCGAGCAGACGAAGGTGCTTAATTTCAGTGCATTCCCTATTTGGTGTAGCCTTACCATAATAAATGTGCCAGGATAAGAGCAGGACTGCTCCAACAAGGTAAATGTGAATTTGACCCCTACAAACTGTTTGGTAAGTGATTTCAGTGAAAAACATGTGATAATCAACGGCATGTTTTACGGTTATGTCCGATTCAATCTACTTGGTGATCAAGCAGCCCTATGTAGCAAACGGGGTCAGGCAGTAAAAAATCCCGCCAGCGCAACCCAGTACAAGCAGGAATTACGTGTTTTAGCATCTGCCACACTGTTTACTGACCAACGTTACTAGGTTCTACTAAAATCGACGCCGATTTGCTTTGACTTGCTCGTGAATATCAACATCTGCTCTGCGTTTACGCATCGACGAAAGATAGACTACCACACACACAACCGGTTCGTGTGGTCACGAGTAGCACCTAAATGTTTGACAAAAGTGCATCCTAAAATCCAACCCAAAAGTGGTCAAACCTCAGCAAAATTATAATACGCGAGTCAGCCGGGTATTGGTGGACAATGTGTTACAAACGGAAAACGACTACTACTTCGTTAAAAAAAGTCAGGTTTATTTAGGTACCTGGGTTTACTTAGCTGTTGGAACTCCATCTGTGGCTACCTAGTCAAACAGACATAAATACTTTTTACCATGATGTCACGTCAGCCAAAAAAGTTAACCTACACGCGTTAATTCATATGTATTCTGTGAGATTCACCACATACTTGGTGTAGCAATACCTGCATAACTCGCGGTGATCCAGCTGATGCAGCTAGAGTCAGTCTGAGGATGATTAAGGTTCATTTGTATGTCAAAAGTTTAGCATCACAGTGACAACAAACGTTTCTGCTCTAATAAACACAGTGAGTTGACAAATCAGTCGAATAGGGTTAAACTGTAAGCAAATTATAAAATTTAAAACGGCCTGCTAATAAATACTTTTTACCATGATGCCACGTCAGCCAAAAATTTAACCTACACGCGTTAATTCATATATATTCTGTGTGATTCACCACATACTTAATGTAGCAGTACCTGCATTACTCGCGGTGATCCAGCTGATGCAGTTAGCGTCAGTCTGAGGATGATTAAGATTCATTTGTATGTCAAAAGTTTAGCGTCACAGTGACAACAAACGTTTCTGATCTAATAAACACAGTGAGTTGACAAATCAGTCGAGTAGGGTCAAACTGCAAGCAAATTGTGGAATTTAAAACGGCCTGCTAGTCATTCTAGTAATCACTGTCTTGGTTTATATGTACGGAGTTTGGAACTGTCAAAAACCATAAGTAAAGCACTTAGCAGTTCGTGTCGTCTTGTAATGAAGCATCTTAATAAACACACTTTAATTTGATAGTAAACTCTATAGTACAAACAAGATGGTTCCAGGTGACTGCGGTCGAGAAGATCTTGTTCGGATCATTGGTTAAGACAAGACAAATGAGCTTTATCTATGGACCTTATAAGTGTGTAAATTGTTCTTTTTGTAAAATGAAGCAACGCGCAAGCCCCACAAATTTTGCATCTCTTTTTTTGTCGTGTAATTCACTTGTTTCTTTATATATTCAGTCAACAAATATAAAAATTGGGTATACGCCATCATCTAATGTAACCTATGTGCGTCCTTTATATCACACTCGAATGTTGCCAGGTCTATGGAATAACAAGTACACCAATGATGTGCAGTGTGTTTATGTGGAGTGTTGTATTTAATTGTGAATGTGAACAGAAAACCCACGTGTTCGGTAGGCTGGCTGGGTAAAGAGGCTTTGCAGTAGTAAGCCGTACCTGGACAATCAGCAAGTTTGCCAGCAGCTAGTCAGCACGTCAGGTTTCTATGATATAACCGACTTAGTCAGATGTTACGGCATTTAGTATCCAACTTTTAAGCCTTCACATTTAATCATCATTTTGTCTGTTAGCAGCTATAAAACTTGTATCTTTTATCATGTTGAGTCAGAATGGCAAATACGCCATTCTGTAAACGTTTTCATCTTTATCTTTTTCTTTACTATGAAAGCTGTAGGGATCACATTGTAGGGTGGATTTTGAGGTAGGAACAATTTTTTGATCCTATGAATCGTTCTGTATTGTCACTTCCATAAGAGGCAGATGAAGTTTCTACATCTGGAATTTAAAGAAGAACGATCGTTAGCTGAGAAGAGATATGTAAAATGTTGATTGTGGGTGAAACTTTGAGGCGAAAAATATCTTCATGGATACACTTTTTCCTTACAGGCACTAAAGTTGATGAACAGCCATCCAAAATGGCTTGTCTACCATACCTAATCAAACTGATGAAAGTCTGAGGTTAACAGCTACTAACATTGTATTGATGAATAAAGACTACTAATCGGCAGGTGAACACAAATACAACTTCGCGAACTACACTCGCACCTAATTTGGTTTTAACAAGAAACCAAACCAAATCCTAGTAAAATATATAGGTTATGGTATTCACCAATTGGATTTGCTGCAAACGACAGCCCCATATTTCGGTTGTACGCTGTGGTAGATATCATAATGCATTTTCTTGAAGAAACTATCTATCAGCTGCTGATTGAGCTATGATTTGTTCATTGTTCCGCATCATTCGTGATGACTGTTAACCCATTTGTTCATATAACCAGTTCTCAATACACTTGTTGCCCTCACTCATCTGGTTCTTGTGCTTACTGAATACAAACTGCGTGCAGTCCGATATTTGCAATCGTCCTACCCAGATCTTACATTAGGGATAATATTCCTTCATTGATGAAGAAAAGCAAATAACCAAACTGGTTCGGAATCACTGCCTTGCATTACCTTGATTTTATAATATCGTCACTTACTAACTCGGATGAGTTCATTTAGGAGAAAGTAATTTAGCGTGCCCTTCTTTTTAGGTTTTTGAATGCAAAGATCTATTTTATTTTAGGTAACGTGATAGCATCGACCCTAGTATAGTTTATATCAGAATCAAAACAGACGTAGCTGTTGAAGGAAATTCTAGTGTACAGAGGCGCAAAATGTGGGAAATTGTGTGCTCTAGGTACATAGGAGAGACAGACTGTTTTTGTACGGCATTGATACGACACACAGTTAAGAGAACTACAAAGCTTGAAGGTAGGGTTCCCATATGAATGATCCTGAAAACACAAGTTATGTTCTGATTAAGAACGGATTTTTTACGGCTAGCCTAATATGCCCTGATTTTTTAAACTCACCGTTTGCTTTTGCTTGCTGCCGTACAAAAACATTTTGTTCAGCACTATCGTTCAAGGTGGAAGCACACAGAACCATTATTTCCGTCACTTTATCATAAGATGAAGGGCATGCAGCTGAGAGCCTGAATTTCAGCTATTAAATTTCGCTTCCGATGGGTCCTGAAACATCCTACTCACAAGTATTTACGGGTGAATTCGTCACTTTATCATAAGATGAAGGGCATGCAGCTGAGAGCCTGAATTTCAGCTATTAAATTTCGCTTCCGATGGGTCCTGAAACATCCTACTCACAAGTATTTACCTCAAGGGTGAATTCCACAGTAATCCACCGATGTGTCACAACTGAGACTGCTTCATGGAGGTATGTATGTCAACTTAACCAGTTTGACCGCCATGGCTATGCCTTCAATGGTAGCCGTTCGGATGTTTCATTCAAGTTTTTCTATTAAGACCTGATTCAATCTGTTGTTCTCCTTAATGACCATGCTGTGTTGACGGTCAGGCGTCACCCCTGATGCTGTAGCTTACTCGTAACTAATGAAGTTTGCCCTGGGGAATCAGCTCAAGTGGGATAAAAGCAACGAAATTGTGTTATTTATCGAGTTGCCTCCTCCCATGCTTCTTACACCATTTCCGGGGAAAGCCGTAATCACATGCTATAAACATGAGTGTAAAATTGTATTCGTCTGCCTAAATCTATCTCTTCCGGGAAAGAAGTAGAGATGTAGAGATGTTTTTCCATCAACTCAACCAACACATCGACGCTATTGAACAGACGATTCTGAACAAATTGAAAATTACCCCCGAATAAACGGTTTGTAACTTTTGAACCCGCGAAACCTCATTAGACGCACAATCCTTGGCTGCTAATAATAGTTACCTACTTCTGTCAGATTATCCTCTTTTCATGTAAATAAGAACTCCTTACAAAGAGGAATCTTTTGGTTTCTGGGTCAATCTACGTATGTTGAGATCAGAACTTATATATTACGGTAACCAGACATTTGCTCTAAGGGTTATTTACACTGTATCCAAGAGGAGACCTCTTGGTTAACCACTAGGCTTTTATCGATTGCAAGTTAATCTACTCCTGGACTGTTTTTCTTCAGGCTATTTAGTCTTATCCTCTTTGTCATAGATACTTGGA